TGGAACTAGATGATCTTAAGGTCCTTTCCAACCCTAACTATTCTATGATTCTATGATTCTAAGAAATCAAATATCAGGACAAAATAGTCATCATATCTACAACTTAATGAACACTTTAAGCATTCCACACCAAGGACTGTACCAACATCAGTAAGTAATAAATGTGCATGCACTATCTAGGATCCATGAAATCCTGCAGCTGCCCCACAGAAGATCTATGGTGGACCATTTCATGAACGTTATGCTGTCTGGCTCGCAGTTACATGGCAACATTACTGGGGAAGACCCACAAATTCAAGTGATGCCTAAAAATACATATGCAAAGACAGAGTGTCTAGAAATGCCTCGAGGAGGAAAAGGTTCAGAGAAGTGAGTTGCTTCTTTGCTTTTTCTTTTCCCTTGTATATATATTAAGGTACCTTTCCTCATGGTATTGATGCCGCTCAAATTCCCATGTCCTGTTAGGAGAATAGTCCCATTCAACTTCCACTGCAGCAATATAGTAAGTCTTTTCATGCAAATACATAGATACATCAACATTCCACCAATGGCACTGTTTCACATTGTACTTCTGTTTCATGCCCCCTGTATAGTGATCTGTTGTCAGGCACGACACTTCAAAAACTCCTAGAGGTTGTACAAGAAACAAAGACTTGAGGACAAAATCTGTGACTAGTAGGTTAATCTTGAGATTGTATTAACTACATCGATGTAGTGTTTAGAGACAGGGCCACGGGCTATTGCTCATATAAGACTCCAATTCTTTGTGTAGTCTGGCAACTTGTAGTAATAAATTTTAGCATACATAGAAGTAGAAAAATCAAGGCCTTAGCATTAGGAACTTACACCCTATGAACACAAATTTACTGCCTTCAAACACAGCTGTACACAGTTTTAGTACCCAAAGGTTCAAAACACCAGCTATTTAAAACTTGGCTCTAAGCATTAAATCTTTACAGGTAAATAGTCTAAATTATTAACAGAGTTTTTAAACAAGACATTTACCTTCAGAATCAGGCTTCATAATAGCTGTAAGAAATGTATGTGGAAACAGATTTGCAGTATCCCTTCTTGTTCCTTTAGTTACAAATGTGTTTTCTGAAAAGTATATCCCATGGACATCAACTTCTGACCCCAAGCCCATCAAATGCCAGGAAACCACACTTCCTTTACACATCTCAAGACCAGGTTGATTTCCATACATATAACCATTAATGGCTGTAGAAGATTTGAGAAAGCAAAACCCACCTTGATTAACACATTATTTAATTCTGCAATACAGATTAAATAATACACACTTCAGATGTAATGTGATGCCTCAGACTGTCAATAATAACTTTCATCACATCAGCAGAACTAGAGAATCAATTCAAGCAAAACTTTTCAAACCCAGTGTTTAAAAACAATTGCTAACTCTTCTCCTTTTCAACATCTAAAGCACAGGTAGTTGACTTGACTGGCTGGAAGTTCCACTGTTTTATAGCTGTTAAGTATGCAGGATACATAAAGCATCCTGTTTTATACCCTGCAAGACCCTCCAGCCACACAATGGAGACAATCTGAAGTGGGTTTTAGCTGCTCTTGTGCAAATCTTTCAAAGCCTGAGCCTCACAGGTACCACTGAATGCTCAAAGCTCTGTAAGTAGTAGGAATGTCCCTGAGCGCAAACTTCAAGAAACAGCACAAGTAAATATGCTTAAAGATTAGGACAAGGTACTGAAGATAAAAATATTCCTTCACAGGAAACTTTAAAGATGTTTCTACAGTACCAAAATGTGATCAGTGTGAAACTCAACTCCGCCCTATTAAAGAAGTAAAGATTTTCATTCCAAGGGAGTGACAGTGGTGGTAAAGGAATCCAGACTCAGCCACGGACACAAAATAAGCCTGCAATGTGCCCCTGCCGCAAAAGAAGGATAATGGTATCTTGGGCTGCCAGCAGTTAAGAATATGAAGGTCAGATTGCAGTGGCTGTTGTAGAAGTGTTTCAAATAAATAGAGCTGGAAAGCAGCTCTGCAGAAAAGGACCTGTCCGATGGAAAGAAATGAAATGTCTCTGCCACTATACGGTTTCCCAGGCTCCAACATGAGATCACAAAAGTAAAAACCTTACTAGAGAAATGAATATTTGTCTAACTAATAATTTCCTTACAGTGCATTTTGTTAGACTCTTGGAAGTCTTCATCATCTTTGTCAATTTTACTAGGATTTAGTGTAAACATCAAAATATTGTCATCCAAGTACCAGCTCAGATTCTCATCAAATACTGTGGCAAGCAGAAAAAACTCCATGTTCACATTTTTCTGTTGAGAAGAAATAACACAAAGGAAAATAGAAATGAGTGAACAGAAAATGTCAGGGGAAAAAAATCTATGCGTATAATAACGTATAATTCACAAAGTAGGATAGATGCATACATTGATACTTCATTCTGATAATCACTAAGCTCTCAAATTGTTTTATTTGGTGACCATGTATCTACTGCTAATGCTCTTTCCATCAGCAGGCACCACCTCCAGAAACAAATGTATGCTTTGGTCTTTTCTAGTTATTCTCATCCTAGCTGAGACTTGTATGCCAATGGTTGCTTACTGCGATGGTGGTTTCACAACAGTGTCTGTCTATCTGCAGCCAGACTGATTTTGCTTGGTAAAAAAAACAAAAAAACAAGCAAAAAAAACCCAAACCAACCAAACACCACAAACCCCCCCACCAAACACAACAAAACCCACTTTCTTCATTTTATGTATTCCCCTGAGCACACAGGTGAGACTGAGATGTGGAGAGGAGAAGGTGCTGAGCGGTCGTTAATGTGGCAGGCCCTGAGGGCACAATTCAGGAGGAGGACTAAGACTCAGCTACAATGATGCAAATGCTTCCAGTTCTCTCCTTTGGCTGACCTGTTTCCCAGAAGGAAGCAGAGCTCCCTTTCTGCACACCAGGAGAGGACCCACAAGGCCAGAACTAGTGTCTCTGACTGCATCCGTAGCTGAGTAATAAAGCCAGGTTAAACAGTCCGGATCTTGATCTGTGGGGCCCACATCTTCTGGCACTTTCCACTCATACGTAAACGTAGCACCGGGACTCACATGAGAGGCTGGAGATTCAGCACCTATTATAGAAATCAACATTAGGAATTTTGCCAAATGAACATTGTTTATTTCATCGCCATTAATACATCATGTACAACAGCTTGTTCCCTGGTGCTTGCAGGATCCCCATCTGTAGGCGTACCTCTGGAGGCAGCACCGTACCATGCCCCCTCGTCGCTCTTTCGGTAACTCACACCATGGGGCTGAATGCTAAATGGGCGGCTGGCATTGTTTTGGAAGGTCACCCTGATGTTCTCACCCACTTCAGCCTTGATAACAGGTCCTAGAAAAGAACACATGGTCCAATTACAAGAAGTCTACCAAGTGATGTACAGGTCACCATGAGCTTAAAACAATCAATGGCTGGCTGCTTTTCCCATTGTATGGGGAACTACCTCTGGGCCTATGTGGCCACAGACCAGGCCCCTGGCACATGGCCTGAATCACATGGCAGCCCAGCAGCAGCTGGAATGCTCCATTCCCAATTCCTCATGAGGGCCCAGTGACATGCAGGACAGTTTCTCCCTTTGGAAAGGAACCTACAGACACCAGTACCAACCTCAAACTCAGCCCAGAGCCATGCCAGAAGCAGACAGGTTATAAACAGGGCTAGTCCTGCCTAGCCTGACCTTGTAATTCAGAGCCTGACCTTTGGAGACCATGGCATATTCCCACAGGCAAGTTGGGGACCACCGCAGCATTGCCTTCAAGAGCTTTCTTACACCCTGGGGTGTCTCTTGGAGGAAGCCACAGGCACCAGCAGGAGGCAGGGAGAACCGAGGGCCCCTCCTTCAGAGGTGGAAGTGCACTGTTGGCTTGTCGGTGGAAATGGTAGTTTATTCTCATAAATCTTTGACATGAAATAAGTTTAGATATCTTACCTAAGAGTCCAAGATGTGCTTCCTCTGCGAGTCTTTTTTTATGTTCAGTGAAAGAACCATCTGTATATTCTTTGTAAATGGCTTTTTTATAAGAGCCACCAATTCTTGTCTCACTTTGTTCAAAAAATATGTGAGATTCACTGTGTAAAAGAAATTTCAGTAGTTGACAATAGTTCAAGTCACAATGCTCAGCTTTACAAAGACAATCAGGACCTCAACCCTATTATCTGAGGCATGACATGCTCAGTTTGTCTTTTGGTTCTCCTTTCAGTGGTCTGGCTGCACACTTATGTGCAGTCCTACATAAGTATGTGCAGGACGCCACTGTCCTTCACTAACTTGTCTTTAAGAAAAAGACACAGTGCTGTGTTGCTCTTATAAAGCCAGCATGCTTCGAGACTCATCAACTTTCTAGTCAACATTTCATAACCTGAAGTTTACTCTTCTTTTTATTAAAAGTTACAAATAATTCAACAGTAGATATGAACACCAAGAATATGTAACATCTAAATAGAAAGTGAGAAGATTTAGTCTACACTTTTTAGTCTATACTTCATAAAAGGACCTTTCAATGTTTTACAAGCAATGTTTTACTCAAGCAATGAACTGTGCCATGTCTCTTGTGAAGCAGGTGAGTATTCTTTAACTCACAGATGAAAAGTCTGAGGAATCAATGTATTCAGTGAACCGACCCAGGTCTTAAACATGTAAACACAGAGCAAAGGGCAAAGCTACCTTGCGCAAGTTGTTTTCTAGCTGCCAACCGTATCCTGGGCTGCATCAAAAGAAGTGTGACCAGCAGGTTGAAGGAGGTGATCCTGCCCCTCTACTCTGCTCTTGTGAGACCTCACTTGGACTTCACCTATTGTGTATAGTTCTGGTGTCCTCAACATAAAAAGGACATGGAGCTGTTGAAGCAAGTCCAGAGGAGGGCTGCGAGGATGATAAGGGGGCTGGAGCACCTCCCATATGAAGACAGGCTAAAAAAGTTGGGCTCTTCAGCCTGGAGAAGAGAAGGCTGCGTGGAGACCTCATAGCAGCCTTCCAGTATCTGAAGGGGGCCTATAAGGATGCTGGGGAGGGACTCTTCATTAGGGACTGTAGTAGCAGGACGAGGGGTAACGGCTTCAAACTTAAACAGGGGAAGTTTAGATTAGATATAAGGAAGAAGTTCTTTACTGTGAGGGTGGTGAGGCACTGGAATGGGTTGCCCAAGGAAGTTGTGAATGCTCCAACCCTGGCGGTGTTCAAGGACAGGTTGGACAGAGCCTTGGGCAACATGGTTTAGTGCGAGATGTCCCTGCCCATGGCAGGGGGTTGGAACTAGATGATCTTAAGGTCCTTTCCAACCCAAACCATTCTATGATTCTATGATTCTATGAAATGCCATTAGTGTCATTTTTATCAGCTAAGGATACAATGATGAATTCCTAGCTTTGTTCTGTAACTCAGAATAATAAACCATCTCAAATCATCAGAGGTCACTGCCTATGTATGATATTACAATTCATCCTCATCCCAGTGAAATTACTTACATTACAGCAAAATTTATAGTAAGAGTACAAGGAAAACAATAGACCCAATTTGGTCTGATATTTATCCTAGCTTTAATATTTAAGCAGAGGTGAGAACAATGAGAAATTCTGCTTAAAAGTTAATTCTACCATATGGCTTACCTTATTTAACATGTTTATATCGATATTGCTTGGAAAGTAAAACTTCTTTAATTAGAAGCATTTACCTGTCAGTAATTAATTCTTGTCCAGTAAAACGGTTCATTGCAGATGGGCCATAATTCCAGATGATCTCTTCAGCAGCAATGAAGTACTGTCTTATCTTTCTACTCTCATTGTGATCTGTTGTGGATTTCCTGCAGTCTTTTACGTTGAAAAGGGCTTGCATACCACCTAGGAAAAAAATGAGAAGGTAGAGAAAACTAAGGAGAAAGAACTGCCCTTTGTTTTCTTTTTCCCTGCTTCCAATAGCTCTCTCTTCCCTGGAGAATTCCCATACCATTGATAGATATGCAAATAACAAATGAAAAGGAAAATGAATTATGTAAAAGAACGCATGCCAGCTGAGCTAGGATGTAGAAACATGACTATGCTATTTACAGTAGGCAGAGAGGTGTGGTAAAGTGCATCCTGCTTGTAAAGCTGCAGCTGATGCAGTAATTACAGAGAAGATCAGGATGGAGTGGAAACAGTACTGTTACCACTTCAGTCAGGACCAGGTGCTACCAGACTGACAATCTTACATCTAAATCTAATCAACAGCTTACTTGTGAAACTCCCATGTCTCTGCATACTAGGAAGAAGATCTGTTAGCAAATCTGCTTGATGGAGATATAAATAATCTAAAAAGAGAGCTCTTTAACAGCTATGGATTAGGCCAATCTCTAGGATTTATGTCTTGCGCAGGATGCTTCAACCACATGAGGATGCTACTTGACATAATAGCTATTTCAAAACTTATAATATCTGTGTAGTTGAATCTGTAGGTTAAACATACTCCCTTTTACATCAGATTTTTAAAACCTTGGAGAACGATTTTGAGTTCTGTGTCCTTCCACTTTTGTGACAAAAAGCTTCTCTAAATTACAGGGATATACATCATGGAAAGGTGGGATATAGCAGTGTTAAATTAGCTTCCAAGTATTTCATATGGTTATCAAAAAACACTGGAAACCCTCTATGACAGGGGGTTGGAACTAGATGAGCTATAAGGTTCCTTCCGACCCAAACCATTCTATGATTCTATGAAATACAGAAAGATACAGGGAAGAGAAATTCAGATGATCTCTGCTTATTAGCCAATGCACTTTCCAGAATATGTCTTTGTCAGCAGGCAAGTTAGCCTGCTTGCTCTGTGCCCCTTGTCCAAACATAGAATGAGCCTCAACTTTTTTGTTGGCAAACAGAAAATTGTGATTGCCTCTTACAGGCAAACATCATGCTATTGTTTGTCTAAAATTGAGGCTTGCAAAAGTGCAGCTGTGCCAGTTCCTGCCAAGTGATAACAATTTCCATTACAGACAACAGTTTCCTTGATTTCTGTGGCTATGTGCTCAAGCCCATCTAATACACTTATAGGTATTTCAATTACTATGAGAGTTTTGTTACCTAGAGGAGAGTATCATCTGGTTTATAACCAGGTGTTGTCAAGAATACTGTAAAGTGACTCAGAAAACTCAGCTCAAGCTAAAAAAATAAAATAAAATCTGATCTGAACTTATTCTGTACCTTTGATATGGTCATTCACTTGGCAGCTGAGCAGCCATTCCCCAGGACTCCTTGGTATCATAACAGCATCAATAAATGTGGCTGGGAAGAGGTTGATGGTGTCAACTCGATGATGTCTTTCTATTAAGGCCTGTCCATGGAAGTAGGCTGAATGGATATCAGCTTCATTACCCATGCCAAAAAGATGCCATTTTACCTTATCTTCCGCACACATTGTGAGGTTTGGGAGGTATCCATACACGTACCCGTTGATTGCTAAAAGAAATGTTATTTATTACAGTTACCTTCACAGACCTTAGGATTTCCACTTCAAAAGTAGGTGGCATACAACCATTGCTTTATTACTCAAAATAGAAAGAAGCTCAAAACAAAACTCCACACCTTTGAAAGTGAACCCACTTCATCTGTACAACTGTCTCCATGACTAGCAGTTCCTGCTAGGATTCTGGAATCCATGTCAGAGCCAAAGGTATCTTCTTTTTTGACATGCACACTAAACTGTTTTTCTAAACCACAACATTATAGTACAGAGTTCAGGACTAAGAAACAGAACAAAGTAACACAACTCTGTTTAGACTACCTGAGAAACACTGGCAAAGAGGTTCTTGGCCCCTAAGAATTTTACATCACAACTCCAAAAGTTTAACTGCACAATACTTGCCATCACTTTTTTTTAAAGGATCTTTCTTAATCCTTCAAGAAAAAGCCCTGCTTAAAAAAAAACCCCAAAACTATTCACAGCTCATCTTCAAAAGAGACAATTCATAAAAGTATTACTTCACTGTACTGGTGACAAGTAACATTAATACAATGTTCTCTCACAGTGCATTTTGTTGCTTTCCTGGAAGTCCTCATCATCTTTGTCAACTTTGGAAGGCTCAGAACAGTATGTCTTGATATTATCTTCTAGATACCAACTCAGATTTTCATCCATCACAGAAAACATAAGGATAAATTCAGCATCAAAGTGTTTATCAGTGCCTTTATTCATTGTATCTGAAAAAGAAAACAGTATATTCAAAGTCTTTGGCAACTGACATTATCTCTTCATGAATTTTAAGTGTAGTATCAGTAGAGCTGGTCACTGTTTATTTCTTATTTTATAGACTCACAGTTACTTTTCTTAAGTAACTGTGAGTGTATACATAAGCTTACAGACACTCAGAAAACAAAAGCTAGTTTTGATAGTATAAAATAACTTTACTAAGAATAAATATTGCATGTGCTCAGATTATATTAAATCTTTCTCATGTCAGTATTTTCACATCCTTTTGCATTATTAGCATGAACAGATCTCACTCTCATGGATTAGTATTCTCATGGACAAAGTATTCTGCAAATTACGTTTGCTGTCACACACAAAATCAAACTATTTCCTATACTACGGGAAGGCAACTAATTGAGATGACCAAAAGCTGCTATTTCAGAATTAACTGTAATCTTTTTCTCTTCCAGTAAATTATTTCTCTGATATTTATCAATAACCATTAACAATCACCTTGCATATGTATTTACTTATTAATTTCTGGTTTACCTTTCCTGCAAATTATTAAAGGCCCAACAAGCCCTGAGGCAACATCCCTTGGAGCATCTATGTGGGAGTGGTAAACTCTGGTTATGCAGTCTGCATCTCCCTTAGCTGGACCTTGATCTTCTGTCACGTCCCATGCATATGTGTACTGGCCTCCAGGTTCCACAGCATCATCTCTCTTTTGCAAATCATTGGTGTTGTCAGGATAAAAGGCACCTGAAGAATGCCACACAACCACCATCAACTGAACACATACACAATATGATGTCAGGATAGCACCTGCCATGCTTCAGTGTTAACTACATTTTGCAGTGAAATAGACTGAGCATATAAACACAGGGAAAACCAAAACCTTTACAAATGTTTAAAATCAGCTGAGTAGATCTTTTCCTTCTCGAGTCTCAGCCTTTGAGTCCCATGGGAATGCTTTGATTAATGGCATGTTAAATTTAGTCTTTCATTTATTAGGAGGGCACTATGTACTTCTGCTAAACAGATAAGAATTCAAATATTTGTGAAGCATTTGTTAAATATTAATCTTGGACACTATTCTAAAATATTCCTTAGGGACATATGCAATATCAGTGGTGTTGAAATGAGAGCAACAGAAAAAAAAATTAAACAACACTCCAAAAAGTGTGTGTACTGCTACATAACTCACTGTTCTACTCCCACAGAATGTGTCTGTATCAAGCCACGTATTAGTTGTATGTCTGATACTTCAAAAATTCTTCTAATGAAAATACTTTAAAGATTGCTTTTGAGACAACATCATATTCTTAACAATTTTCACACTGTTTTTAAGGCCCACTAAAAAAGCTTTCAACAGCTGTATTCTGGTGCCTTCTGTTACAGAAAATCCCCTATCATCTGAGTGTGGCAAGATAGGCTATTGCAAGAGCAAATTGTCACTAATCCAAAGAGTTCCCCTACAAAACACCTTGAAGTGTGTCAGACTTTTACATCATTAATTTATTACTAAGCAGTAGATGTTTCTCCATTTTAAGAAATTCTTGTGTATCTTAGACACAATATATATAAATTGGGGGGTAAGAATTTGGAACTGTAAGTTATCATTATTAAGATCTTCATGAAAGCATCAATTTTTCCTTCAGAAATCCTCAATTTGGCATCTCATGTATCATTATAGTCTTCAGGTGGAATGTTGATCTAAAATTGCCACCTTTTTGAATTCTACTTTTGGCTTTGTGTTTCACTTTTGATAAATTATTGAACTTCTTAGCTCCTATTTTACATCTATTGTGTCCTGTTTTAAATCTTTATTTACTTGACCAGTCTTCTCTTTGATGACAGAGTATGACACTCAAAGGAATGATTAACTTTCGATAAATTCTGGCATAGAATGGACTCAAGCTTACCTTCGTTTTCCTTTGTGTAGGTTACACCATGTGGATGCAGCGTGAAGTTTCTGGAAGCGAAGTTTTTCAAATGTATAATAATGGAATCTCCAACTTCTCCCTTAATGATAGGGCCCAAAAACCCCAACCAAGAAGGTTTGTCGACTACCACATCATATAAATGACTGCTGTACTGAGTGTAGACAGCCTTTTTGTAAGTGCTTCCTATCCTATGTGGTCCTCTTTTGAGAAAGACTCCAGCCTGCCTGTAAAGAAAATACACAAAAGCATCTATAGCATCAGCTACTCATTTTATATTTGAATGGTATTAATTAGTAGAGTCTCAAATGTAAGACCAGGCCTCAGTAGCACTGTGCACAACCATATGTGTTTAGGAGCAAATATGTTTCTTACTGTGAATATTGAGGCATACTAACTCTTAGACAGAGATTACATACTAAACACTAACCTGAATTTTTTTTATAGAGATTACATACTAAGCATCAACCTGAAATTTTTTATACCTATTTTTTAGACTGATAAGGGTATTTGACACAATTTATACATTTATATAAAAAAACAGGCTTGATTAGCAAGGAAACAGCTTAACCCATAAGCTGAGACTGATGTAGATGGTATTTCCTACACGTGGTAGCAAGTGAAACGAGTACCTATCGTGGATATACGGCCCAAGCACCAGCAGCCAAAGGTGAGGGGTCACCACATATCTCTGAAAACTATCAGCTGGGAATGGCTTTGGAGCCAAACTTCGCCTGTGATGAGGGACAGGTACCTTTCATTAAATATTTTGCTCTCTGAGAGGAGTTATCTTTGTCAGAAAAGTGCTTGTATTTGCTAACTACAATGGAAAGAGAAACTGCCAGCACTGGCTGTTTAAACCAGTAGCAGTACTTTTGGTTGATGCTGTTAGCCCAAATTCTAGAGTCTCTTTAACAACGAATCCTCCTGCACAGTTCCCTGCCCATGCTATGAGGACTAGCTGTGAAAGTAAACCTACCCCAGGAGGAGGCAATCCCAGGAGATAGAGCAACACTGCCTGAAGTTCAGCAGCCTCCTGATTTCTCATCTTACATGATGAGAAACCAAGCCAACTTGGTTCCATATTCCCAGCAGGCTCCATTGTGAAGCAAGTTAATACTGCCCGAAAATGCGAAGTATTTCCTACAAAGCTGAGCATTGTTCAAGCATGTGGGGAAGGGAAAGGGAGACCTTAGAATACCTAATGGTGGCAGACATGAAAGCTGGAGGGGGACTTTCACAAGGGCATGTAATGATATCACAAGGGGGAATGGCTTTGGATTGAAAGAGGGGAGATTTAGATTAGATATTAGGAAAAAATTCTTGCCTGTGAGGGTGCTGGGGCACTGGCACAGGTTGCCCAGAGAAGTTGTGGCTGCCTCATTCCTGGCAGTGTTCAAGGCCAGGTTGGACGGGGCTTTGAGCAACCTGGTCTAATGGAAGGTGTCCCTGCCCATGACAGTGGGTTGGAACTAGATGGCCTTTAAGGTCCCTTCTAACCCAAACTGTTTTGTGATTCTATAGTTCTATGAATTGCTTGTACCTTGGCAAGCACAGATCTGAACTGTTATCAAAATGCCAATTTCAATTTTCCTTGAAACTTGGAGAACATAAACTTAGTCGCAGAAGCTCTATTACTGGAAGTCTGAGAGCCTGAAGCTTTTCAGCCACAAATTAAATCAAACAAATATATTATGTCTCTTTTTGGAATGTTTATAAACAGCTACCATTTAATTGTAGAGTATTCCTTCTAGCAGGTACACCACACTTTTCCCTTCTGCTCTTCCCTGTCTCTGTAAATATCAATCTCCAGACAAGAACAGCTTCATAGTTGAAGGGTTCAGGTGAAGAAGAAGAATCAGAGAAGCTGAAAATTAAAAGGAGGATAAAAGGGACCAGCTTCATTGCATGCATGCAACCGCTGAAAAACTGCAATTGATTTAGCATGCTGCAAGTTGTCACACAGCAGAGAAAAGCAGTGAAAGTGCAGAGAACAGTGGTAGCTTGCTGTATTACAAGACAGCTCTGCAAGTTTCAGGCATAATGCCATGTCCCACCATTTCTCAGCCTGCTGGACCACTGGCAGTGTCTTACATGTCACTCAGTTTATAAGTAAAAGCAAAAAAGTTGACTGCTTCATCCCATGCCTGATGAAGCAGCAGATTATGGCTGAGAGATTGTTGGCTCTCACTAGAAAAAATAAACCACAGGCAAACTCCCAATCCCTCATCTACAAACTGAGAACTAAATTTTTGAGATTCTTCTAATTTTTGATTTTTCTCTTCATTGTTTTTATTTTAGTATAGTCCTATTTCATCTTAAAGGCACTGAAAAAAATGAACTTTTTTCCTCTCAAATATTTCTCTGATGCTTTTTATATCTGAGTTTTCTTTATTGATCATTCGTATCTTCGGGTGCTCCCCTTCTCCTCACCATACTTATCTTCATCCTACTTATTGCTCTTACTCTGCACAGGACTCTCCTTGCCTTGTAACAAGCAACCCAGCTCCTCCACTGTAGGTGGTAGGATCCAGCTGTACTGCTGCACCAGTGAAAACAACCATTGCCAACAACGAATATCTGAAAAGGAAACCTGTGCCCAATAGGAAAGTTTTAAATCTGTCATAACAGCAAAGTCTTCTCTTCAGCACTGGCACCTTAGCCATTCAAAATTAAATATCATTAGACATTCAGGGTCTTTTCTAGTCTCTACTTAGTAAGCATTTCATTGCAACAAATTCACAAAAAGCCTACATATATTCTAACGCTTTTAATTAGCAGAGCATTGGAATGCAATTCCCAAGGAAGCCAGAAAAAGTCAAAATTCTCTTACGATTCTCTGACACCAACATGATTCGTTTCTCTGCCTTCATAAGGTTTTCAGTCTGTCCCTAGTGTCTTAAGCAGACAACGCTGTAAAATCAACCAGTGTAAACTGTTCTACTTACTCTTCTTCTGCAAAAAGCTGTCCAGATATGATATTGGTATTGCCAGGTGCATAGTTCCACTCTGTCTCTATAATGCCAATATAGTACTCCCTGTTCACTGCCCCAACTTGGCAACACCAAGAAACCATCAAGCAACTTAAGAAGAAAAGCTTCATCTTGCATTCACGAACCTTGTGGAAAACGTGAAATACAAACACAGGAAGGGCACATGCAATTTCCTTTTATATGTTCTTGTCTTTCCCACCCACCACCCTCCTTGCCTTCCCCCACTCCCTGCTCCTGTTTGCTTTGGTGAACACAAGAAAATGTTGCACAATGTCTCTGTGTGTCAAGAGTAAACAAAAGATTCTGGTAACCTCGTCAGTTCAGATAATCTTCAAAGACATTTTTTCAATCTCTGCCAACCTACTACCATGCAAATTACTATTTAGACTGTTATCGTATTGTAAATCTTGGAGCTAAACTGAAAGTAGAGTAGATTTAAATGGCTTTACAGTCTTAAGTTTAATCACATTCTTCACAATCTTTATCACTCCACAGCTTGTATGCTACTGATAAAATCATTTTGGTGATGTGCAGCAGAACACCACAACTTTTTAAGTATGCTGTGAAAATCTCCAATGACACCTGTTTTTCCTGGTGTATCCGCTTGTACGCTGACATAACTGGATACAGGGCAGGCCCTGTAGGTGCACACTGTCTGCTGCCTATTTTCTTTGCTCATTCTGAATCTACAAATTGCCATTTCTTACCCTCTGCACAGCAATTGCTAAAGTGGTACAACACAGATAAGGGAGGATTAGGTCACTGGTATCAGAGCAGAGCTGATGTGTCTGTGGATAAGCTCTGCTAACCCACCATGGTTCCCTTGGAAATGTAATTTTAACACAAAGCGTGGCACATACGGCTAGAGATGAAAGGGACTGGATGGTCAGCAGTGGAGGTGAGGGATATTTGCATTTCACTTCCAAGCAGTTTCAGTATTGCCCAAACAGAAATGAGGCTCAGAAATTCCACAAAATTAGATCCCTATAGTATCTTCCTCCTAGTCTATCACCAGACAATATAAGCCACATTCCTCAATGATTAAAAGCATAATAGATGTATAAAGCTCCAGATAACCTTTAACTGTTACCATTATCTAAATGGATTAACCAGCACAGGCAGCTATACTTTTGCTTTATTTAAGTTTTGTAAATATTCTGTAAGTCTAATTGAAAAAGAACAAAATTGGACCTTAAACATAGGATGCACAAAACCTGCCCAACTGAAGTTTGCAGTTGCTTTTTTTTTTCCCAAGCATACATCCATTACATCATGGTTGTATGCTTTAGACATACAAAGCTTTAGACATACAAAGCTTTAGACATACAAAGCCACCTGTAAACTCACAAACTGTAAATACTTCTATGAAATATCTATATATCTTCAGTTGCTTAGGAACTCTTAAAAAAAAATCTCTTCTGCATTCTGAGCACTGACAGAGTTCATTCATTCTCAATGACATTTTTCATTGTATGACAACTTAGAACCATCTGTAATAATCAGAACCTTCTTTTTCTTAATGGCCAGAAAAATGAGTATTTTGGATAGAAGAACATAACTAAAGTACAGTAAGTTTCCTTTAATGACATACAGATCTAAAACTTATTTACTAAGACTGTGATATACAGATAAATTACCAATTTCAATCACTATTCAGATAAAAAATTTCAGGCACAGCCAGAATACTGAAGGTCATAATCTCACCTTTTGGAACCTTCTACGCATCTGCATTAAATGGATGATTCTGCTTCTGTCTAAGTGACTGTAGCTAAAGCCAAGTTTTTGAAATCTGACCAAATCTATGATGAAATTCTGGAGTTTCCCAGGTTGGCACCACATGCTCAAAATTACTTCTGCAGGGCTTTTTTTTTTCTTTGCCAAGGATGAAGGTCAGTGGTTCAGTGGAAAGATCAGCTTGTACAGGTTGTGTATGCCCCATCTGTAAATTAACTAGAGGTAAAAATGAGAAAACGTTTACCTCCTCTTATAACTACTTAAATTCAAAGTCATTCCTTAATACTCAGCAAACAGTTGTTCATGTATATGTGGGCTATTACCTGTATTTTTGTTTTAATTTCCATCAGACTGAGAAAGAGAAAAATCACACAAGTAGCATCCTTGGAATCTCCACATTTATTTGAGTGTAAAACCATGAGTATTTTTTTGCCTTAGTCCTTTGACTCCTCTAAATTACTTTTTCTTGATTTGCAGAAGAACTGCATGTTGGTTTTATTTAAAGATAAACAAAGTCTTCTGACAGGCAAGATTTTTCCATTACAACTTTTAATTGTGCCTCACTCAAACTTTAAGTTGTGTGCCTTAGCACACTCCTAGTATCTTTCTCTTAAGGAACTCTAAAAGCTGACAGAGGTGACCAAGCTTCTGAAGCCTGTATTACTTAGCAATACAGGCTAAGTATTGCTGTGTGGTAAACAGGACCTAAAAAGACTAAACACCTAATTTAATTGGTTAAATTATGAGTCTGCAGTTTGGTGTCATGAATATCCCCTTATTGTTTTAAACCACAGTACCTCATTTCTCATACTGAGGATGCTGGGAATGCAATGACTGTTCTGGAAGTTTGCTTTGAAAATATAAAGCTGATCTTTTACTTAAAATATGTTCCTTCATGAAAAAAAAACCCCACCAAAAAGAATCAGTAATTAGGAAACTGTATTTCAGTGAGACTCACTTTCACCTGCACAAGGAATAGTATACCCCAACATGCAAAGGTGTGGATGGGACTCCACAGTATTTTACTACAGATCTCAGCCACAATTATTTGTGGTCAAAACCAAGTCTCTAAAGCTATTTTCATTGTAGCGTTTTAAATGAATGGTATTCCCATTGTAGACACAGCATCATAATACTCCAGCAAAATGCATAGGCTGTGAGGAACAAATAGTGCTGAAACTCTAACTTCTAGATTTCAGTATTAACTCCTTACTTACTAAAGTTTAAAACCTCAGACCTGCAGCTTTGTTCCAGGTACGCCAAGAGTATTTTATTTAACAAGCAGCACATGCAATTCAGCTTCAGGAACACGTCTTCAAAAAAGGGTTTCTTGTATGCCAGCATGGAGTGAGCTTTGTCCTGGCTCTGTGGACCACTTCCTTCTCCTGTTGTCAGGGTGAGGTCTGTTTTCTGCAGCTGGAGAGCCAGATGGTCACGTTGCCTTAACCACCACCACCAGAGTTGCCTGTTATATCTAGATTTCAAGTCAGTTAATATTCCTTAGAGGAATCTTGGGTTTGCTACAAGGTACAGTTCATAGTACCTCTTCTTAGAGACATATTATTTAGGATTGAATCAGGACTTAAATTGATTAGATCAAGTTTAAATTTGCCTTACATCCAAAAGCCCTATGTGAAACAAGTTGTTAAATTTGTAAATGCAACCCACTCTTAGCCTTTAGTATTCTTACCATCAATTTCAAATTAATAAACTGTCCTTTTAAAAGCTGAGCTGCCAAGTCACAGTTGAGCCTGGCTATGGCAATGGAGATGCTATATAGATTATGGATGAAGAGGGCTGCAGAATCAATACATCCAACAAGAACTAAATTACACACCTTTTCTTTGATTTAAGCCACTAAAATAGGAGATACCAGTCTCTGATAGAGCAGAAATGTAAATTCACAAGACAGTAACACACAAACAAAAACAAAAAAGAAAAAAAGATTTAATTAAAGACAGTCAAGCCCTGCAAGTCATTAGGTACAGCCACTAAAAATATTACTGTGGAAAAAACTGTCAAACTAGATAATTATCTTTGTGTCTTTCATCTGCCAAGCTCGAGACTTTCCATAAGCAGAGTCAGAAGATACTGAAAAGTAGAAAGGACATATACAGAAGCAAGAAAAGAGTTAATTTTCCAGTATAACTTCAACATAGTTTGTTGTTCTCATCCAGCATAGCAATACCACTCTCAATAGACTGTTAGCCTAAAGATAAGCCTGTATTTTCCCCATGGCTGAGCTGGAGTCTGAATAGAATACCCAGTTTGCTTGGTTTTTTCAGTGAAACAGCGCCATTCACTTCAGGAATATTTAGCAGTTGTAGGGTTTTCTGCTTTAAATATCTATGCAACACAAACTATTTTTCAACCAAATAACCAAAATTTTTTTTCAAATATTTCTAACATCTTCAAAACAAACAGCTCCACAGTTTGCAGGCATGAAATCAGCAAGATTCTCGAAGATGTTTGGTAGGAGTAGGGATTGATTGTTAGGTTTTCCTTCCTTTACTTCTGTCTGCAAACAATATCCGCAAGTCCATAAGAGTGTGGGATTATAATTTAGGAAGATAGGTGATATGATTTATATCTAAGCCTAGGGAAAAACAAGTGTGCAGGTACAACCAGTCCCCATTTTATAATCACGCCTTTGTAAAATGCATCTCTGAACACCCATGCCACCTTGAACTGTCTCCCAAAAGACTAGCTCCATTCTTAAATGTCATTAATTTCTTCATTACTTCTTGCAACTTAATAGTAACTAAGCTATTAAAACTTTAAATGCATTTTCCAAATCCTACAGGAAGAAATCAGCTTTTCAAAACAATCTGGTAAAGGAAAATCAAGGCAAAATATGAGTTTTGTCTTGAAAGAAAATTAAATTACTGATATATTCTATTTTTTTTTCTAAATATCTTACCCATAGCTGCTACTTACTGTACAGTTTGCAGTGCTAGTAGCATTTTATATTAGATGTTGATATAGCTGAATACCACTAGTTCTGATGTAAGAAAGATATGTGCATTACCACAAGTTTGAAGTACATATTTTGCTTCCCTTTGGGTGTCCATTCTCTCATAACTACAGCGTTGAACACAGCCAAACTGTTGCCCATGCAGCAGCTGCAAATGAGCCAAACACCCACCTTATTGTAAATTCCTAAATTTCCACTGGGAATTTACAATAATTCTTTGAAAAAATAAATACACTTTTTAGCTTCTAATTTAAAATGGATTATTCTTTTTCATCTGATTATTATTGTCCAAAATATTAGCTTTCCATTGCAGCAAGGTCAGGGTATTTAGAAGAGTATTAATAAGCTAGCACTGGGTGCTTACAAGGTTTCCTTATATATTCTCTCAATTCACATAATAATTGACCAAAAAAAAGTTTGCCTCCAAATACAAAAAGAAACCCAGTACAGGTATTAATGTGTTTGAACTAGCACAACTGACTTCAAAGCTGTGTATCTAATCTTTAGATCAGGTCCAGATGCCACTCTAAAAGCCTTTCCACTGGAAGACTTGATAGACTTTTTCCAGTAACTGCTTTGTGCAGTTAAGAACTTCCAAGATAAAATGAGCAGGATAAGCCGCTGCTCTTTGTGACCATCATGATCTGTCTGTAACTAAAATTTATTATCAGACCCTTTTGGAACAACAAGTATTCCTGTGTTCTAAACAAAGAGAGGGCAGTATAAAAGCAGTTCTATGGCAGTTCTACAGCAGTTTATTAAAAAAAAAAAAAAAAAAAAATTCAATATAAAAGCAGATCCATGGTATTCAAACCTCTATTGTCAGAACAAGCTGGAGGCTAAAAAGAATATGACGAGCCTCTGTCAGGGACAACTGAACAGGTTAGAAAACAACCAGGAAAATGTAGATGTCAGTTCATATAATGTCATCTAAGCTAGAGAGGCTTGAGACATGAAGATTTAAGAGTCTTTGCAGTGCCCATATCTACCATCATAAATGTTGGAGAAGCCATTTCTCTCTTTTTTCTGAGGGGTGGGGGAGAAGCAGTGAAGATTTCCTTGTCCCTTTCAGAGAATCCCAGCCTGAAAATAAAAAAGGAAGGAAGTAATCACCCTCTTTTTCTCAGCTTAAGTTGTTTGAATGTTCAACATCCACATCCAATCTAAATCCAACACAATCAGAGCCCCAGAGGTGACCCTACTTTGTGCTTGGGGACAAGCTGACTGTATTCTTTTTGACTTTTTTGGAAGCTGGGCTGGATCCCAGGCTGAGGAGGCTCTTTCACTGGTACGCAGAATGTTTTGAGAGAAATTGCTTCAGGCTTTGACCTTGTGTAGGTTGCTGTTACAGTAAATTCCTACAAAGAAGCCTTCCTAGTCTGCTTGCCCCAAGGCCCTCCAGGGCACCTGCCGTTTCTCTGCCTCAGCTGACCAGCACTGCTCAGGAGGCTTCATGCTGCAGAGGCACTGCCATCCTACTTCCTTTGCCCTCCCAACATTTCTCACTTACACTATAGAACTAACCCTGTTGTCGGTGTGTGTATGCATGTGTACATATACATACGTATGTGGGGTGCGCATGCATGCTACTGAGGGTTGCTACTTTTCCTAATTAGAAATCTCTCATTTGTGCTGTTATCACTGAGACTGTTAGCAACATAAAAATCCTGAGGGCTCCTTGATCCCAGTGCAGATGGACAGGGAGGAGTAAGCATATCTCTAGTTTGACCTACCTCCAAAGCTGGGGAAACTGAATGCCACACTAAACTGCACTACTTCACACCAGTATGCAGGTGAGCAGCATCAGTCACTTGAGCTCTAGGGTTCAGCTAATTCTTCTGCCCAAAGCAGAGCCTCCTCACTCATTGTTTCAATAACCTACTGAAAACATAGTAAAAACTGATGTCTAGATCACCACTGCTACTACATATTGCCTCTTGCATCTTTCTTCTGTTTGCTGTGAAACTCACACATTGATAAGAATGTTGAACACACTGAATGCTAGAAGAAAGCTACTCAGAAGCCTCTGCTGACATAGGAGTAATGGACTCAGCATCAGCACTGAACTGCCAGCCACATTTTTCCGTCTCAATCCTAGCCTTAAAAGTCAGAGCAAGCAGCCACCAATCCCTGTATAACACAGGGAATTAGTGGATGAATAAAACCCAATAGATTTATCACCAGTACATATCCTCTGGTAAAAAAATGTGGTAGCATAAAGAATGCATAAACCAAAAGGGTAGGTCCTCAACTGAGGGAAGCTAAACTGACTTGGAGATGGCTGAAGAAATCACCTCAGGTATCTTGTTACCTGGACAAAAACAGAGTAGGTCCCGCAGAGTGTCCGTTTCAACTCAGCAGCCACTTTGAGAAAACAGATGATCAACTGCAGTCCACTAAGAGCTATCAGAATAGAGAGTAAGATGATATTCCACTCCACTATGTTAGCAGGTTCGGTACACCGAGACCAAGCAGGGTAATCTGTGAGGTACCTATTAGAGAAATAGGAATGTGAAGTAAATTAAAATGTGGTGAGTGTAATTAAATTTAAATACACATATTTCACCTATAATATACATAAAACCCATATTGGGCTTTATATGCTTCAAGTTTAGGAGCCAGTCTCTAACCTTTCACTACACCAGCATAACTCCTGCCTAGGTTTGTTAAACTCAGCTGCACGAGGACACTTATTTTCCTCAAATACGTCTGCTTCAGTAGTTTCCCTGTTAGACACACAAGTGTTAGAAAGGCATTGCCACTTTTTCAAATGGCAGAATCCAAGTCTAAAATGGGAATTTTCCTTTCATTGATTTAATTTAATCTTTATGTTAAGTCCAGCTGACATCAGTTCCACACAGAGCAGGAACACCCAACAGCATCAGCCTAACCAGTACATGCAGCCTAAATGCTAGAGCTGAGGTAAGTGTCACCATGTGTAATTTCCAGTTATTCTAGAGCCATGCTTTGCATCCTTGAGGATCATAATGTGGACAACTGACATGTGCCCTTTTAACTGAGACATGCTATAGCCTGAAGGTTAATTGCAAAACCTTAAACTCACTGGCTCAGTGTCAGTTGCTTTTTTCCTAAACATTCATAACTGAAATGCTTTAGGGAAATCTGGAGTGCATTATTCAGCGTCTGGCCCTTTATGTTGAACTCAAGCTCGTTTTTGTATTTCCAAATTGGAATGGTAATGCTGGTGATTCATAGCAGAGATTGCAGGATACATTTAATTGTTTTAAAATAAAGCTGACTTAAGTCAGAGAAGGCCACAGTTTAGGAACTACCCTGTTAGATGCTGAAGGAACTTTTTGTGATCCTCTGACAAATTTAATCCTCAGTGCATTCAAATGCAGTTGGAAGACCTTGGCATTATATGACTTGAAATATTCAAGCCTCATAAAACTTTGACCTTTTAACTGGAGAATGTAAAATTTTGTGAAAGCAGCCTCAGGTTATAGATCTCAATCAACTTTTCATGCCTGCAGGAGGTTGGGACACAGACAACACTTTGTCTACCTTACTTCGGTGTTTTATGAGATACAGCAGCTGTATGCTGAAACTACCAGTGATCAAACCACAGACTTCACTGAGTTTTAGGAGTTCAAGAGAAACCTACTGAGTTATTAAATATAAAAATGCCATCTATAATCCTTGATTCAAAAACTTGAGGAATTCACAGGAATACACTGAGAAAGTATCCGTCTACAGCCACTCTAATCTTACATTTTTTACTATATGTGACTGTGATCACCACCAGATACAGGACACTTATCTAGATGGACCTCCAGTTCTGATCAGTACAAAGATTCTTACATTTAATCTTTCCTTACAAGGAAGCAAATAGCTTTCTTTGAAGGTTCTGGTACTCATTCAACAAGCTGAAAAACCTCACTCACCAATATTGGTCTTGCGTTCAAGAGACTATACCATTTTGTATAAAACTCAAAAAAAAATCTGACTACTGTTTTGATAAATAGTTTCTTCCAGAGATTTACACTGATGTTTCTTACCCTCCAGCAGTGTCTTTGAAGATATAATCCCATCCACTTGATGAATTGCAGAAGGGGCCTTGGATCAACCCCAAGGTAAAAATGATGCAACTGTATCCAGAGAAAGCAACTCCAAGCAGGGCTAGCACAATTGATACAAAACTCTGAAGAGAAAAAACAAATATTATTGTGTGGGAACAGTGTCCACAGCAAATAGTCATTCAGCCTGCCTAGCTACTTCCTTGAGGCTGAATTTCACAATTGATTTCCCCAGTCTTCAAAATTCAGAAAGAAAAATACCAGGTAAAGAATAGTAAACATACGTATATAAAATAAAGATAGACAGAGTTTAAGACAGTTTCACAACTCTCAGTTAAATATTGTCTTGTTGTTTGTTTCTGGGGTTTGTTTGGGTTTTTTTAACTTGCATTTTTGCACAACTGTTTCCCAAAATGCCAGAGGAACACAACCACACATTGAATGTTTGCATCCCAGAGAGTGCATATTGAATCATTACTGGAAAAAATAACTTCCAATTACAAGCAAGGGGATGAAGCTGTTTAGTTGGGGCATTTCATTGAAGCTCTCAGGCCTTCTGTGTTCTAATTTTATTTTACAAGGGTTTTTTGGTGGGGTTTCTTGTTTAGTTTTCTTTCATCCTGCTTATGCATCAGAAGGAAGGAGCTATGATTTCTGTGACCTCTCAATCCAACTTCAAATCCTTCTCTGTAAAAGGAAGTGGAAACATTGCCATGGGGAAGGCAGAAGGATGTGCTGGAAACACAAGAGCAGGAAGGTACTCAGAAAAAATGCTGAAGATATGCACAAAAATAAAACACAGACTCACCCTGTAGGTTTTGTTACAACTCTCACTCTGGCAGCACCGATAGAATACACTACACTCCAGCGTTATTAGAATTACTGCCAGCAGAAGGATCTGTAAGGGGACATTATAATGTCAGTGAAATGACTGGAGATACTAAGCCAAAGTCTCCACCTATGGAAGACAGGGACTGCACCCGTTATGCTCTATTGATATTTTAAAGGCTAAAAATGCTTCAAAACATGAATGTCACTGTCACAGTTAACATTTTCCCAAATTTTCAACTACGCTTTTCTGTTCAAATTCTCTGCCCAATTGTCTTTTCTTCACTAGAAAAAGATAAGGTTTTTCTTTTAAGAATACACAGTTTCAAAAGATTATCTCATGGTTTAATAACTCTCCCAGTTCAGCACCTTCATAAAACCACCTTACTTATGTAGATGAGATCTTCTAACTGCTGATTGTGTGCGTGCACTTTTATTACATACCTGCTTTCTGTCTCTGAGCCTACGGTTCTTTATGAACATAGCTAACAGTACGAGCAGTGGGCAAATCTGTGTTAGTTTATCACTGCAGATGAGCATATTACAAATGTAATGGAGAAAATCCTAATATGCCCATCACAGTGAGATAATCTTATGCATTTTGCCTAACAATAGTGTTTTGGCAAAAGAGCTCTAACTCAGCCTCCACAGAGGATTAAATCAACACAGTGTCTGGCTCCATAATACAAACATAAATTAGACATAAACAAAAAGCCAGCAGAAAGAACAATCAACACTGCAAAACCACTTACATGAAATTAAGTGGTATACATAGCATGTCATTCAGGATATTTACATTTTTTCAATTTGATCAAGTCTTTCCTGCCTGCAGTGTTTTTGTGAAAGTAATCCATATTCTCTTTAAAAGCACAATTATATTGCTGTACAGTAACCCAACATTACTTGCAGTAGAATGCAATTAATTAAAAATTCATAGAATCAACACTTACCATCACACCTGAGAAACAGATCCCTTCAAAATACCACACGTAGTTGGGAAGCTGGTAACTGGCAGCATGAGAAGCTTTCCCATTAGGGAAGTATAATAGGATGTTAACAACAATACTCCAAAGTGCAAGAGGTATCAGCAGGCAACTCAAACAGCTTCCACATGTCTCTAAAGCCATCTCAAGAACTTTAGAATTTTTGCTCTTCTAAGCTAACAAAAGATTACAAGCTTTTAGATACAAAAAGCGATTTGACCTCCTCAGATTGGTTCAGTCATTTCATATTCACAGAAACGGGATGACTGGGGTATGATTCCAGATAGAGAAGTGCTTAACAGTTAGCAGAACAATAGATGAATATCGCTGTCTAAACTCATTGTCCTTTCTAAGCATGTGTCTTTAACTAGCAGTTTCCCTTCTAAAAGATCCTCCTTTGTGATCTCTCAAATAAAATATGTCAAGAAATTGAACTCAGGAAGGAACTTAAAAAAACCCCTCATTTCCTTGCAACTGCTTAGAAACGCACTCCTCCCGAGAGCACAGATTATGATGCAGATACTCTGACAGAAGGCAGGTTGGTCAGCCTTACTGAAGCCCAAAATTTTTCCTATACCTTATATAGGGAAGGGGGGCTGTCAAATGATAAATGTCCACACTGCCTTACACTACAGAGAATTAATACCAGAGTTTAGCAGATACCACACTAAGGGTGAACCAACACTTGTTGCTAACTTGGGGCAGCCTCACAAAAACACCCCCTGTGAGTCACCAGGAAAGTAACTGAAGAATGAGCTCTGGGTTTACTCAATAGCAAAGTCACAGTCACAGAACAAAAAATATGGGCTTTACCAAAGGCAAGAAAGCTGATTTTAGAAGCAATGATGTCATAGCATATTTTCTTTCCATTTCTTCAATAGCTGTTTTAGGCTCTGCACACGAGGCTTCTTTCATGATCTCATAAAAAACTGTTTGGGTTACATGTTAAAACTAATTCCTTCCTATTGCTCTGAATGAGATCATCCAAGGAAATGGGCATGGTGGTACTTGTTCTCTGCTGTGACTCTCCATCTCCCCTTCTTTTTATAGGATGTTTCATTTTGAAGTCCTTAAACTTTAATCTGAGGATTTCCCCTATTTCCTGGTTTAGTCCCTAATCACTACAGATACTTTTATCAGGATTCCCTCTAATTGAACAAAATTAGCAGCAAACCTCCCTTTGCAGGCTCACAGGCACGGACAGAACTCATATCATCAACGCTACACCTTACAGTTCAGAGAAAACAGCTGAATTAAAAGCAGGCACATCACATCCCTGGGACTGATTTTTTTATTACAAAACTCAGAGATCATGTAATAGGCTAGAAACAATGCAATTTGCTGCTACTTCCCATAGTAATCTACTCTGATTAAAGAAACTTGGAAAATGACATCTGGGACCACATTTTTTCTGCAGTACAGCAGTCCACATCATGACTTATTTTGTACTTAAACTGAGCTCTGCAAATGCCAAATCACGGTGTGTATTTTTGCTGGCACACTGCACTGCTAGAACAAAAAAAAAACCCCAACCAAACAAAAAAAAACCCCAAACAAACAAAAAAAAAAAACAACCCACCACCAAACCCCACCCCATTATACTAAATACTATGCAAACCAGGGAACCAGTTTCTCAAATATCTTACTAAGTGTTGCAAGAACTGCTTTCCTGTTGCTGTCAATGTCCACAAGCTGATGCCAAGCCCATTATCGAAAAGCCATGTTTCCTCTGGATGAGTGACTTCTCTGTTAACTGAAATAACCTAAAATCAAGCTCTTCTCCACAATAAACTAATAAACCCCCCCAACCACTGTCTTATGCATCTGGCAACAGAGGAATTCAACTGGCCTTTTTTTAAATGACAACATAAGCAATGAGTAGTAATGTTGTGCATTAGCACTGCATGCATCTGAGCTGAAGTTTTAATTCTAAACTCTAGCCTAATCATTCTGTCCAATTGAATTTCTAAAGTTTTTTCAGTTCTTTAATTAGTTGTGTGTACCAGAAAGACAAGTAACAACCATGCAAACATAAAGGCAAACAAATCTGTAAGTTGTATGGGAATTAAGCCCTATTCCATCGAGACCCTCTTTTCCTCCTCCTCCTCTCAACTCTACCCTTAATTTAAACTTGCAGACCTTTCTTCAAACAGTGTTTTTTCATATACAAAGACACCATGCTGCAAAGCTGCAAAGAATTTTATGTGTATACACATGTACACACACATATTCTCTTCTTAGCAGGGCAAGACACAGATATACACAACAAGCAGTTGTATTAAAGTATGAAAGACTGCCCTCAACGACTTCTATGTATTTATGTATGAATAAATGACATTACAAGAAGTGGATATCCTGAGATTCTAAACACAAATTCTTCCCATCTGCAAGTTCTTTTGCTGCTGTGGATGCATATGTGCAATTTCATTTTCACAGTTTATTTCCTTTTTCAGATATATTTTTGTACTTGGCAGACTGGGCTGTTAGAACAGCCTTAGACACACCTCAAGTTCTTGGCATGTTTTTGAGCTATGGCTCAACTGAATAGGAACCTCTCTCTGGTCCTTGGAACAGCCATTAGCAACGAACTACTAGCCCAGACCCAGTTCTAATACTCCCTGTAAATAGCTTAATCTGTCACAGAGACACCTGTCACTGAACTATCATACCCTTGTTGATGCACAATTGCCTGGATCAGCTAAATGATCCAAATCAAACAGTGAAGCAGTTCCCACTCTGACAGAACCTGCTGGAGAGGAGAAACAGGTTATAATCTGACTGCCTTATATTTATGTTTTAATGCCACACTGTCTTTTACATTAAGGCTAGGAAAGCAGTGTTTCAGGATGGGCAGGGAAAGAATCACTGACACCTGCTGGGTGGTTTTAATATAAATCTTTATTTGTGAAATACATAAGTTTGGAAAACTTCTCAAAAGGTGAAGTGCATATATCTGCCCTCAATAACCCACATTTTACTGCTGCTTTACTTTTCGTCCAGCTGAGTATTCGTTTGTATCCAGGCCACACTAAGTTGGGTTTGTGTTCATTCCAGCATCAAAGTGCAACTTTATTGAGAAAACAAATTAAAGTACAGAGCTGTTTTGTCAGTAGAAAGAAAAAAAACACAAACCCAACATCTATAGTGACATGTGTTGAGGCAGTTGCCCATACTAAAATGAAATGAACCACAGAAATTCAGGATACATTTTGCCTTTAGATACAGGCAGGTTATTGGAAAACACGCATATGACTCTAACAACAAAGGCTGGCCCCAAGTCAGTTAAATTGATGGCAATAGCACAGTTTGACAACAAACAACATGCATTTTAGTAAGCATGCAATGTAAAAACAAAAGAAAAGAAAAAAAAAAAAGTGCAACCTTCCTCTCCCCCCCCCAAAAAAAAGCCAAAACCAACTAACCAACCAAACAAAAAAAGAAAAAAAAAAAAGCAAACAAAACCCCCAAACTTCCAAACCCCCAAAACCCCACAGATATCTCAATACATCACACACATGCACCCATGTCAATGCATTGTCAGGTTTCTAGCAAGCGTATGTCTGTGGGGGGAACAAAAAGAAAGACACTTAGTAAGGGGAAGAAAGCTAATATTGTATCCAACCATAAGAGCTAAAATTAACCTGGCCACATTTAGACAACCTTAGCATGGCTCTTTTATATTGCAGTTAAAGCATGAAAGATAGAAGTGAGAAGACAGTAATAGCTTTGATAAAGCCGCAGCATTCAATTATGTAAATGAAAAATGTCAAACATTCTTAGCCATAATGTGTGTGATATAAATCACATCTGGTTCATACCTTAAGCTATTGCAGTTTCAACACTACAACTATGATACCAATCTCAACAACATGCTCAAACTGTTTAACAGGACTCTAAAGAAGTTCGGGGAAATTTCCCTTCCTCAAAAAAAAACACCTTCCTTCAAAAATCCCATCAGATCTGTCTGTAGGTTTTGTTAGCTATATGCTAACATAATTCCTTCCCTTAAGCAAGGCCAGATGCTGAAGTATTCATTACTGCATATTCTCAATAATACATCCATTGCATGTGAGAAAAATACACAGCTAAAGTAATATAGTTAGAAAAAGCAGCCTACCACTAAACTGTACCATGCTATGCAACAATGGTTTAGGCTTTGGCAAATAACACCACCAGGAGATTTGTATTTCACTGAACTGTTGTTTAAGAATACCTAAGAAATAGCTACTGAATAAGACTACAGTAGCACCAGTAACAAGTACTTGATGTTCATCTGAGAAGCATGGTTATAACTACAAATGGCTTACCTCCTCTTCACTGCAGCACAACCCACATAGTCCTCCAAGAATGCCGTTGATTATATGTATGAAGCACAGGATGAACTCTATTCCTCCCAAGACAAGGAGGATGGCAAAGAGGGTGACATTCCACTGCACAATGTTATGAGGTTCTTGACATTCAGACCACCTGTTATACTCAAATAAGTACCTGTCCAAAGCAATTAGAAGCATATTAACAGAGTGGGATGCTTACCATACACTAGAACAAATGATGTCTAGCCTGTAACTGCACTGGGGATACGCACTCTATGAGGAAACAGAAAATGCAATGGTTTATTCCATGCAGAGTTTGCTCTGTTTAAGTGTGTTGAACTACCAACCATACGTTTTTGTTAAGTCTTAGTTTCTTAAAAAAAAAAAAAAAAAAAAAAAAAGGAAAATGCAATCTAAGCTATAAAAGCAGAATCTTCTATCACTGATTAAAGTGAGACACAAGCTCAAGGAAGCTGAAAGAACAAAGCTACTTCTCAGAACAACCATAGAGCTTTTCAGGATTGGGCCCTCATTCTGAAGACAGCAATTACTGATCCAAAGCAAATGGGTCACCTCCTCTCTTGTGCTGCTGTCTTTGGGCCCTCACACGCCTACGCTGGAAGAGCCAAACACAGAACAAATTCAGAGTATTCCCACTGCTAGTCCACATCCACATCTTCAGAACATCAGCACTGATGAACCTTCAGCAAAGAGTTGACTCAGTTCTTCTATATTCAATCATGTTGGGGGGAGAGGGGAAGGGGAGGGGAATGAGTGAGGAGGATGAATGTCCCCTCCTGGGACAGATGCAATTGAAATGTAAAATTCAAGGTCTCTGATGCAAAGTTGCTTTATGTGGTTTCTTAGTACTCAATCATTCTCTAGTCTGGCATCAGCCATAAACTGTTACTAGAAACAATCTCGAGGTTGCCAATCATACAGACACTATAAAAGCATGTCATGATCCAAATCAAATCCTCTTCCAACCTACAGGACTTGTGGGGATTAATGGGGAATAGCATACAGCTCAGCTACATAGGCTTGATTTGCTGGAGGACCCTAATTAGGGATAGTTAGGTGCTTCTGGCCCTCCCTGCCCGGTGGTGTACAAAGATTCTTATAAACCTTTTCTAGTTTCATTTACAAAGCTTCTATGCCATTGTCACTAATGAAGGTATTAGGCCAGTTTATAGTGACGCAGAGCAACTTCAGAAGCAAGCCTCACAAAACAGATTCTTACACAAATGATGAGAACTTTCATAACAAGAGAACTTTCATAATCTATTCTATGATTCTATGAACAACCGCTACTTGTAGTTTGTAAATCCCTCAAAGTCCTAAAACTTTATGTTAGTGATGTTCATGGATATGAACAGTATACGGTATATAGATATTATTATATATATTTATATATGTATGTTCAGATTCCTTTTTGTAGGACAGAGAATTTATATTGCTTTGGTTTTAAACTTGAGCAGTGTGCGTAACTGATGCCATCTGTTCAGTTCTTAGTGAGCAAGAAGCATAAACTTATGAATAGATCTTGGTATATGGTTACTGGATATTGCTGAAAGGTACTGAAATAAAGCCTATGTGTACATGGGGGAAGATATAACGCCCTCATGAACAGCCAACTTACCCTCCAGAGGATTCAGTGAAAGGATATATCCAGTTTCTTTCTAAGTGAGTAAAACAGTATGGTCCATGAGACAAGCCCAGTGCTGAAATGATTATACAGTATCCAGAACCAATGATCCCAATAAGGGCAGCCAGAACTGAGGACAGCATCTGCACAGCAAACACAGACGTGAATTTTTGACACAGCCATCACCTTGCCTTTGAGATTATCTGGGACTGGAATGTAAAGGCTCACTTACCGCACAGCTTTTCCCACAGTTCTCATGGCCAAAGCACCCACAGCAGTCATCATTGTGAAGCCCAATGAATACTGCAGCTGGAATAAGTACCTAGATATGGAGCAGACATACCACGCTGTTCTGTTTTGTTGCACAGATAAAACACAGTCGTCACAATAACTTCATTTATATTGTTCTTGGCAGGGGGTTGAGGCAGCCTGTATAAGTTATTCAGTTTTACTCCTATTTAACACAGTAGGCATCTTGCCACTGATATCAGGACACCAACACCAGGACAAGTGTATTTCTGTTTCTGCTTAAGTGCATAAAGAGCCTGCTGTGGTACTGCTGCAATTTAAAGTGCTTCAACTTTAAAAGTTTTTGTTCACATTAAAGGCTGCATCCTCCAAATAAGTTTTATTAAAAGAATATGTTCACTTTACGCCAAACGAGGACTATGAGAGAAGTATCCCATAATTATTTGTTAAAAAACCCCAGCTATTACTGTCATATTAGTCACTGAAAAGTTGGCATCATTGCCTGTGTGACAACCCAGTATGACTAGAGTAGAAAGTCTAGAAATATTTTGCCCAGTTCAGGCAAACATCTCAGTACAGACATCTTGCTGCTGCTGGGTTTTCACAACTAGTTTCCAGTGACAGAAATGCAAAACAACAAAGCAGAAGCTATCTGTAAAAAACACAAATCATCCATACTCCAGAGCTTTTAGCATAAAAATCAAGGAGGAGAGATGATTAAACAGAGTATCCTACCCACCAGCATCAGGGCTTAATAATAGTTTGCACTTAAAAAGATTCCACACCCAGGAGAACCTTGGAAAACCATAAAGAAAGAGCAAAGTTTTATCTGAAAACTGCATAGATTTACTCAACAAGACAGTAAAATAAAAACTACCCAGTTGAATAGTCACATAGTCGCCAGCCCTTCTTCAAACCTATCACTAAGCCCCAATGCTGCAGGTCCAGAAGAGATTGTACAAGTGTGTTCCAGGAGCAATTAACTGATTTCACTTGTATTATTCTGTGTGTAAAGCCCAGTCTTTGCAAATCCAGCCTAGGTTCCAATGGGCCTGTAACACAGCTGTAAGCACCTCTCACAAGCTGGAGCGCCTTTTGCAATGGTTTTGAACCTACGATTTGCAGACATCTTCAGATCTGTAGCCTATTTCTAACAGGACTTTTCAAAGCAAATTAAAAAGGAAGCCTGAAGTCAGGGAACTTAAATATGCTACAATGTGGTCCACAAAACTATAAAAGATAGAAAATAAGAGCTTCAGATTAACAATGTCCTCTAATGAACATATTCAATTCTTCATCCTTTGCTGTTACTGGAATGCAAAGCTTTGGTATCTGCCACTTGATTCCTCTGAATAAACAGCTAAGGCAGATAAATAACTGCCAACATCTCATATAATAGAAATTAAGGAATTGTAACTAAATGCTAGTTATCTAGGGATATGTTATTGAACTCCTTTTAAATAAGTAAAATGTAAGATTTAACCCTTTATGCAAACCATGATGTACTCAGAGGCTTGGTTCCAGTTTTGCATTTGTATTCTGCAACCTAGACTCTGATTTTCTGAGCTTTAAAGTGACATAATGCTGCAGATAAGATAACCAATAACAACTAATAATACCTATGGGGTAATATAGCTAATTTCTTTTGATTCTGCTGACAAGGTATTTGATCGATTACTAGTGTAAATGGTAAAGAAATAGCAATATTGAGTAGCTGCAAAATAAACTTGAAAGAAGCTCATTACTTACCAAAAAGCCTCCACCTAGAATGCCATGAAGGCACTCAACGTATTTTCCGAGATGATGCTCTGAAGCGTATCTTGTTTCTCCATTGGGAAAATAAAGTAAAATGTTGGCCACAATGCTGAGCAAGGCCAAGATGAGCAACTTATAGCCAATACATCTAGCACACCTTCCAAAACACATGTCCTAAGCTTTACAAATCCTTCCTTCTCTAGTCCAATCCAACTTATCTCGTACCTGTCCACACCTAAAAGAAGGTCAGCTTTTATTCTCACCTCCTTAAATACTCATGGTTACCTAGCTACTTGGATGACGTTAACACCGCTTCGTAACTACCATTCCCAATTGCAGAGTGAGGGAACAGGGATGGCAGAACACCACCACCCTTTTTAAATGCAATAATTGTTGACAAACCAGACGCAATCAAGGAAATATGGAATACTAGATAATTTCACTCTAATACGATGCTTGGAATGATCATCAGTGAACATGATTAGACATGAACAACAGGCTTAAACCACAACACAAGTTCTGCTAGGAACAGAAGGAAAAAGGTTTTGTTTTCTTTGTTAGAACCAGCTTTGACTTTTAGGTTTATAGACTGATTCAGAACAACCTGAAGCCAAGGAATGACTTGGCTGACTTCAACAATATTGAGTCAGAGTTTTGGGTATAAACAGAATATGGTCTACAGCAATGAGGAGTATGTAGAGCAACCTCTCACTTTGCTATCCTGTGAATGGAGTAAGAGTAAACCTCACCAGGAAGCTGGAAGACAAATAAAAAAGGTAGGCTTCTCAGGAGTGTCCTTGTTCTTGCCAATATCAAACAAAAAATGTCCCAAAACACCCCCACCCCCAAATAAAAAAAAAAAAAAAAAAAAAAAAAAGCAGTCCTTGCACTGAAATTTCATGTATACAAGCACAAAAAAAAAACCAAAACAACAAAAAAAAAAAACCCACCCAAAAAACCCCCACTGAACAAGGAGAAACGTATTACATCAGGGCTTTCCAAACTGTGTTGTATGTACCAGTAACATTAATTTGCATAACAGAGATATGAAGAGACCTGGAAAAATTAAGATCTAACCTGCTCTCTTTTCCCTCATGCAAATTTTGCTAAAATATCCTACAGCTTTCTTCTTCATGTATATACAGCTCAACACAGCAGCATGAGCTGCCCACTACTATGACATGACAGAAAATAACTAAGAAATACACAGGCCCAGGCTGCTGCTGGGAGGTGCTGCTGCCACCATCACAAAACAATGTAATGTTCATTGCAAAAACAGTTGCTAGACAAACTGAGTTTAGGAATGTCCAGGATATTAGAATACTATACTTAGATTTTTTCCAATTATTTAGGGGGAAAAAACCTACTCATTCACTTCTGTTGGGGGGGAGGGAGGACTATTATTTTTTTAATAGCTAAATAACACTGTAAACAGAAGTCCAAATCAAATCCATAGTATTCTTGCAAGTGATGTGAGCAAGACTTAAGCTGAGAGAGAGAACATGCAAAAAGAAGAGGCAGGGGGTGGGAGGAAGAGAACAGTCTTGTGCAGATGTGGTTTTGTGATGTAACTTCTCCGGGTATTGTAGCTGTTGACCTTGGAGACTTCCTTCATTATGAGAAATATCCTCCAATTGTAGAAACATAGGCTTACCATTATTGTGCACTTCACCTCTGATGACTAAACAAGCGTAAGTATCACCCTGCAAGTTTCCTCTGCAGAAGGAGATGGCTGGTCAACTGAAAACTCCCTTTATTGTGTTATGCTAAAAAACCTAAACCATTCCTCCTGCAAAACACCACCCAGCACCCTCCTCCCCACCCCAACCACCACACCATACATATGGCCACTGGAAAGTAGATCTGAAATATGTTCCATTTATAATCTGTATAATTGTTTTCTAAACACTTGATCTGAAACAAAATTTCACAAAAATCAAGAACTTCCTATATTTATTACCAAGCAGATGGGGCATTGCATGGGCATTGCAGTCTGCAGTTGCTACCAAACCTCCTCTCACTCCCAACAATAAAATAGTTCAGATCATTCTCCTGTATAAGCATATAGGCTGCAAAAGTCTTGAGACAGCTTGTTTACTTCTTATTCCTGTTTGGTTCCTAAGTCCTAGTTTTACTGCTCAAAGTGAGCAGCAGTGGATTTCTGGAATGCATTTGGGCACGTCAAGTTTTAAACGATTAACTGACCGGCACACGAGCAGTAGCCAAACATGAGCTTCTCATCAACCTGAGGAACAGCAGGGCCCAAACTGCACCTTATGACATGCTCCAGCACCATGAGATGGCAGAGTTTACACTAGCATAAACAAAACCAGAACTGGGTTTTGAGTCTTTTAAGAACCACAGTGTTTGCACTTAGAGAGGTAAGATAATAATTTACTCACAGGTGCTTCCTCACAGGAAACTCCACTATTTCTCTCTCTCACAGGACTATTCCTGTAGCTCTGATGCCTGTCTTGGACAGAGAACATTTATTAAAAGTCATTCCATCACCTAGTGTTACTGGAGACAATAAAAGTCTAATTCTAGGCTAAAGCCTAACTTTAGACTGTAGGGCTAGTCTTCAGCTCTGGCCGAGAAGAACATACTGCATTATGGTACAAGAAGGAGAAGACAACCAAATGGGCAGTGAAGAAATTTTCACACCACTCTAAGGTCCAGCAGGTAGGACTGTTGTGAAAGACTTTCATATCCTTTCCTGGCAAAAGAGGGGTAGTTTATAAACAATTACAGCAATTCTGCAGGACAAAGTTTGTCAGCAAAATAGCACTGCATGGGGTAGGACACTGACCTTTCATGCCAGGGAAGCAGTTAAAATTAGATGCCTTGTCCAATTTACTGGGGTATCTAACACTAAGGCTAATTTCAAACGGAATCCAAGAATCCAACAGCTTCTCCATAAAACAAAAAAATCCACCTCAGTAGTCATCATTCCTTTGGTTCTTCTATTGTAAAAGGGGGACAGAAACCTTCTTCCACAAACTAAAGATGTCAGAAAGAGACCAGTGTTTACTGATGCCTAACAGTGGGAAATCTCACAAGAGCTTTCTACATTCAGTCTCTGAAAAGATGAGTGTTCTCCAGCTTTCTGTATCTGCTCCTCAGCCAGCATGACAGGAGTAACAAAAATTATTTTCTCCAGCTCAGCTGCATATTGGAAACTCTTGCTGTATTTTTGGACAAGTACTAAGTTTAACTACTGCAAAGAGAAGCAATTTATCAAAGACTGTCAAAATGACCACAACTTAGTTACTAAACACTTGCG